CGGAGTGCTCCTTAAATGCCCCGTGTACTCCCAAGTTCGCAGCAGCTGTCCGTAGGGCCCGTCCTGTGTGCCGAGTGCTTTCCTGAAGCAGAGAATAAAACTCATTCCCTGACCCCTGGGCACAAAGCCAAACCCAATATTAATTTCTTTCTTGAGCCACTGGCCTTGCAAAAAGAAAGAGAGCAAGCGAGCGATTGCAGTCTGTCTGTCACTACTGACCGGAGCAAAACAAAGCTGGCAGGGCACTGTTCTTCCCAGGCAGACCGCCGCCCTCACCCCCCGCAATGCATCTGCCTACGCTCCCTGGCCTGGCTCTGGGACAATGACTGCCTTGACACTCAAGCCTGGCCTTCCAGCCTCTGCTCGGGCCCCACCCCATGCAACCCCTCTGACGCCAGAGACAGAAGAAGATTGTCCCAGGCGGCTTCCATACCCTCCCTTTCCACCACCTCTGCCCCTGCCAACCACCAAGCAGGTCTCTTCCTTGTACTCTTGGACTGTCAGCGAGCTTCTCTGTTTGCTCTTCTTGCAGCCAGCATGAGACCTGTAAGTGTAAATGAGACAACTATCTCATTTAGAATAAAATCTGAAGCCAGACACTGGTGGCTCACGCCTGTCATCCTAGCTACTCAGGAGGCTGAGATCTGAGGGTCACAGTTCAAAGCCAGCCCAGGCAGGAAAAGTCCATGAAACTCTTATCTCCAATAAGCCACCAGAAAACCACAAGTGGTGCTGTGGCTCAAGGGGTAGGTGCTTGCCTTGAGCTGAAGAGCCCAGGAACAGCGCCCAGGCCCAGAGTTCAAGCCCCACGACCACCACCACCAACAAAGAATCAAGTCTGAACCGCTGACTTGTGTGATGGGCCCCTCCCTGTCCACCACCTCGCCTGCATCTTCCCTCCCTCTCACATGGGGCTCCAGCTGCCCTGGCCTCCTTGCCGTCTTTCAAACACTCCAAGCTCATTCCTGCCTCCGGGCCTTTGCTCTTGCTGTCCTCTCTGCTTGAAATCCAAGGTGTCACATCTCTGGTTCCTAATTCAAACTGATTTTTTTTATTTCTTCAGCCAAATAAAAGAAGCCCAAGGGCCAACTTTGACCCATTTAGCCACTTCTGATCTAGGGCTTCGGAACTCCACATTTTCTTTTTCTTACAAAGCATCGCCTTGTTAGGGGATTGGCGGAGGTTTCCTTGCTACTTGCTTTGGCCCCATTTTTGGCTTCAGAACTTTGTCGCAGAGTGATCACGAGGGAGGTGGGCCATCATGGGGACGTTTTATCGCCTTCCTCGACACCCCAACTCCATCCCCCTCCCCAAGATCCCCCAACTAAGCCTTCGTCTTGTCACACTCATTATACATCTGGGGTTTTAACCCCAGCATTTAAGGCCCTTCATAAACAGGACTTCCTGCCTTCATACTTCCTTGCATTTGTTCATGCATTTTCCTCTACTTCTGTTGTTCCTCTCTCCCTTCCCCCTTCTCTCTCTGTCTCTTTCTCCTTCTCTCTCTCTGAGCCTGATGAACTCCTATTCAATCTTCAAAGCCCACCTCAAACTCTAGTGAGAAGGGTTGGACTGAATACAAAGTGCTTTGAGGGAAGTGTTCTGTTGTGCTGTCAGCTCCCAGCAGGAGATGGGTGAAGGAGGAGGGCATCCATAGAGTCTAAGGGGCCCCTGGAAGAAGGGTAGCCAGAGGCTTGGTCTCTAGAGTAGTCACTGGGTGAAGAATTGGAAGGCTCTGGAAGGGGGCTTGGAGGAGTGTGTGGGCTTGTGCAGTGAGGTGCTCCTCCGCTTGTTCCACAGTGGGCGGTGGGGTTGTGGTCAACCTGGCACTCGGGAGCAGGTAGAAGCAGGTGGCCTTATGGCTTCAGACCCTTCACCACCGCTGCCCCCAGCAGCCATAGGCTCAGGATGCATCTCTGGGAAGGGGAAGTAACAACTTGGAACAAAGCTTTCCTCCACTGCAGGCAGAGTGGATGTTCTGGAAAGGCCTCTGGGCTACGTGGGCCTAGAGCCGCAAGCTAGCATGCTCACCAGATTCCCTGGCCATCTAGTCAGCTGCTGGCTTCCTTCTGGGCAGCAGAGGGTGCAGCTCCATTCCTTAGGCTCATGCCAAAATCCCAGGGAAGGAGCTGATTGGCTAGCTGGGTCAGGTGACCAGTCTTGGCCCAAGGTGATTGGATTACTTGAACAAATATTGCAGCTGGAGCTTATACTGTAGATCACAGGGAAAGCTAAGGGCATCCCAGTTATCAAGCTAAGGACAGACCCTCTCCCCTCCCCCAGGAGGGATCTGCAAGTGCCTCTCTCATGTCTGGGAAGTCTGCTGCCCACCTCCTGCTTCCTGTCATTCTGGAGGCTAGGAGGCAGCCTCCACCCCAGTCCAGAGCTCTGTCTGGTGTGGCCATGGCAGGCCAGGATGGAGAAGGGCATCCAGGAGGAGCCTGTGGCGGGGGAGGAGCTCACCTGAGCTGGCCGCCTTGAGGACCAGAAGCAGGGGTGGCGGTAACTGGTGAGCTCTTGGTGACTGGGCTACACGTGAGGGGCTGGAGGTGATGCAGTGCACCGGGCTCCGGGGGCAGAGCCAAGCAGAGGAGACCGTGCCCCGCAGGGCCTGGGCCACGCACACGTCGCTTTAGCTCAGCTACAATCATAAGCCACAGAGCCATGTTCCCTTCACTTGTTCCAATTGGTTCTGAGGGTTCCAGGGGTTTATTTCGTGTCGTTTTTATTAAGACACACCTAAAGAACACTTGAGACATCAAAAGAACAAAGACAACCAAAAAGTCACCGACAAACAAATTCCTCTGAACACCTTTGATTTTGTCCTCCCATTCTGAGGTATTTTGTTGTGGTTTATGTAAGTGTTGTTCTTAATGAACAAATTTGAGGGTAGAGACAAAAATAGAATCATTCAGGAAAACAAAACTATTTCACTACCTGCTACAGTGTCCTTTCCTATGTTCTTATGTGAACTTGTGGAACATTTCTTTAAGTTTGGATGGAGGATGAAGAAAAATACCAGCTAATTAAACTTTAATTGTATTGTTAATTTTTTTTTAAAAAAGCTGGGTGCTGGTGGCTGACACCTGTATTGCTAGCTATTTGGGAAGCTGAGATCTGAGGATCACGGTTCAAAGCCAGCCTGGGCAGGAAAGTCTGTGAGACTCTTATCTCCAATGAACCACCAGAAAACCGGAAGTGGTGCTGTGGCTCAAGTGGTAGAGTGCTCACCTTGAGCAGAAGAGCTGAGGGACAGCACCCAGACCCAGAGTCTGACCAAAAAAAAAATAGCTGGGCGCTGTTGGCTTTGGCTATAATCCTAGTTACTCAGGAGACAGATCTGTCTGAGGAACACAGTTCAAAGCCAGCCCAGGCAAAAAAAGTCTGAGACTTATCTGTACTTAATACCAACAATTCAGAAGTAGAGCTGTGGCTCAAGTGGTAAAGCACCAGCCTTGAGTGAAACAGCCAAGGGGCAGTGCGCAGGCCCTGAGCTCAAGCCCCAGGATCACAGCGTGTGATCACAGTGTGTGCATGTACACACACACACACACACACACACACACACAGAAATATCAGCGTTTTCGCTGGCACCCTGTGGAGCCCTGAGAAGCTGCAGCGCCCCCTGTTGGCCTTACTTTTCCTTCTGATAGACATATGGACCTTGCTCCTCGTGCCCACCCAGGCCCACCTTGTGGCTGTCCCGAGGCAGTGGCTCCTGCATGTTCCAGCACCCGAGGGCCAGCGCCATGCTGCATGGACCTGCTTGGGTCACCTTGCCCAGGATGCTCTGCAGTCCCATACACAGCCCAGACCCCTGGCTGTGCCCTGCTGGCCCTGCGCTGGGTAATTCATTCACCTCCCTCCTCCTCTCCCATCTCTGCCTTGCAGGCTCTCAGCCAGCCGCTGCCAGGGAGCCTTTAGGAGCTGATCTGCCACTGAGAATCACCAGGTAAGGCCAGCAAGTACTTAGGGAGTTCCTACAGCAACAACTCTGCCAGCCAGGGAGGAACAGTACTTACTAAGAGCATTGAGTAGTAGTACTGAGTACTAGTACTCAGCTGATTAAAGGCAGATAGGAGATGTGAACTCTGGATGTGTGTGAAGTCAGTTTCATGCCCTGTAGGAGGTATGCTGCCACACAGACACACAGAGAGTGTAGTGGAATATCTTGGGGCAACCAAGGGCCAAAAGTGGCCATGAAAGCCAGTAGCCCTGCCTCAACCAGGGACAGGGCTGTGGACCGGTAAAAATACAGACTTGGGACTTTCCATCCAACAAGGGATATACTGTTATCCTTTTAAAAGATAGGGAAGCTGGGCACTGGTGGCTCACGCCTGTAATCCTAGCTACTCAGGAGGCTGAGATCTGAAGATCATAGTTCAAAGCTAGCCTGGGCAAGAAAATACATGATATTCTTATCTCCAGTTAACCAAACCAGTAGTGGAGGCAAGACTCAAGTGGTAGAGTCCCAGCTTTGAACCAAGAAAGCTAAGGAAAGGTCAGCACCCAGGCCTTGGGTTCAAGCCCCAGGACCAGCACAAATGAAACAAACCACAGAGTAGCTAAGAAGGAAGTTAAAAAGTTCAGCAAGGATCCCACAGCTCAAAAGTGGTAAATCTGATGGTGACTGGACCCCAGCTTGAGCACCTGGCTGGTTTGTCCTGATGGAGGTGGGGGGGGTGGTGATGGCCTCAGGCGGCACGGGTCTCCTGACTGTGGCCTTACCCCGAACTCTGCACTGTTTCTGTTGGAAGGTTGGTGGCTGCAGGGCCCTCCAGTCACCAGACATGGAAGAAGGTGCAGGACACAGGCCAGAGCGGGAGCTAGGCTGGCAGGCGGGGCAGGCCATGTTGCCTTTGCCCTCTCTCCGGAGTGGCCGGGAGAAGAGGGGTTGGAGAAGACCACTGGGAGGCACCGGTGGTCTGGAAGTCACTTCATGACTGTCCCTCTTTAGCCTGTGACCCCTTCTGTCTTCCCAGCGGGACCTTGAGCCGCAAACCTGTTGTCCACGTGGACAGGAGCGGACATCTCACGCCCATCTGCAAGGCCCCCTGCATCCAAGCTCCGAGACATGGCAGCCGACGGCAGCAAGGTGGCCGACGGGCAGATCGCCACAGAGGTCAGCGAGGCCCCCGTGGCCAGCGACAAACCTAAGACCCTGGTGGTGAAGGTGCAGAAGAAGACGGGGGACCTCCCCGACCGGGACACGTGGAAAGGCCGCTTCGACTTCCTCATGTCCTGCGTGGGCTACGCCATTGGCCTGGGCAACGTCTGGAGGTTCCCCTATCTCTGCGGGAAGAACGGTGGAGGTAGGTGATGGTTGATGGCCTCTGGGCGGGGGGGGGGGAGCCCCCACAGGGAGGGTCCCCCTGAGGTATCTGCTGTTGCAGCTTCAGGAGAGAATGGGGGGTATTTCGGAGATCAGGTCTCATTCTTTGATTTCTGTCTTTTATCAAAAGATGCCTTGCCTGCCAGGCACAGGTGGCTCACGCCTGTCATCCTAGCTACTCAGGAGGTAGAGATCTGAGGATCAAGGTTTGAAGCCAGCCTGAGCGAGAAAGTCCTTGCGACTTCATTTTAGCTCCCAAAAAGCTGGACGTGGAGGTGTGACTCAAGTGGTATATAAAAAAGCTAAGGGTCAGCACCCTGGCCTTGAATTCAGGGGCACGCGCACACACACACACACACACACACACACACACATACACTTTCTGAAGACAGTTATACCCTGCCAATGATACCAACACCCATTTCTCCTGCACAAAGCAGAGGGTAGATGTGAGGTGAGAGACCCCCTGGGGCTCATTTTCCCTCTGGGTGCTACTGCTCTGGGGGCAGGGCATAGGGAAACCCCAGGTGAACCCCAGAACCACTGGGACCCCTCAGCAGGAGCATCTCCAAAGCCGTGTTCCTCCTTGCAGGGGCCTTCCTGATCCCCTACTTCCTGACGCTCATCTTCGCGGGCGTCCCGCTGTTCCTGCTCGAGTGCTCCCTGGGTCAGTACACATCCATCGGGGGCCTGGGTGTGTGGAAGCTGGCCCCCATGTTCAAGGGTGAGTGCAGGGCAGGGCCCGGGAGGAGCAGCCTGGAGGCTGGGGGAGGGGCCAGGGGGCTGAAGAGGACGGCTACAAAGCTGCTGGGGGGACCCAGTTATCACAGCCTGACCCGTCCCAGCCAGGACTATACTTACAGAGGGCGGGGACCTCATGGCACCTTCCCCTGTCCTGCACTGGTCCCTGGCCCACCCCCAGCTCGTAGTCCCGGGGAGGCTGTGGGTGCTGAGGAGCACCCCAGGGCAGCTCCCCCTCCCCCTCCCTTTCCCTTTCCCTTCTCCCCCCCCTTCCCCCCGCCGTGGCCATGTGAAGCTGGAGTCATGTGTCCTGCACAGGGGTGGGCCTCGCCGCCGCGGTGCTGTCCTTCTGGCTGAACATCTACTACATCGTCATCATCTCCTGGGCCATCTACTACCTGTACAACTCCTTCACCACCGTGAGTGTCACGGGAATCCCAGCCGTCTCCCCACAGCAAGGGCAGCACTGTGCTTTGAGCACCTTCCCTGGCCGAGCACTTTGTGGGAGTCAGTGTCTGATCCTCCCGACACTGTAGCTAAGGGCATCCTGAGCCGTGGTATATGGACTGGGTTCAAATCCTGACTCTGATATCTCTCTGCAACTTCAGTAACAAGGCCTCTCTGTGAGTGCTGCTGTTCCCATTGACAAACTGTAGATACATGTGCAATTTACCTCCATTCTTCAAAAGAAAATAGAATCACTATCTGACCCACCAGTTCCACTTCTGGGTGAATGAATGCTCCCTGCCCTCCCCCCCCCAAAAAAAATAGGAAGCAGGGTTTCAGAGAGAAACCTGTTGATGGCTATGTGTCCTCAGTGCTGAGTGAGTACGCACAATATGGTATAGAGTTACTGTGGAATACTACTCACCCTAAAAGAGGGAAGGAAACTCTGCCCCTGCTACCGCATGGCTGAACCTTGCAGACTATGTGACGTGGAAGAAAGCAGTCATGGAAGAGCGGATGCTGCCCGATCTAGCTCATCTGAGACTGTCCGAATGGTCAGATCCATAGACAGGATGGGAGTTTGGATGCCAGGCTGGGGATTGGGAATAAGGAGTTGGGGGTTAATGGGGACAGAGTTTCGGCTCAGGAAGATGGACAGGGTGGGAAGTAAAGTGGCGATGGTCACTTGGTAGACTTCATATCCTTATAGATACCTATCATGCCACTGAACTGTGCACTTACGGGTGATCAAGGTGGCAAATCCCTGTGGTGTATATTTAATTACAACAAAAGGGAAGCAAAGGAGAAGGGAACCTCCTCCACCGGGCCTTGTGTGGCGTAAGGACGGGTGTGTAGAAAGTACTTAGAGCAGTGCCTGGCGTGGAGCCTGCCGTCATCACTGGACTGGCCTCCCAGAGCTGAGGTGCAGCCCCCGTGGACAGGAGGCTTGATGAGGGCCCAGGGCGAGGGGGCTGAGATTCAGATCTCAGTCTGGCCTTCCTCTTGTGCAATCGCAAGTGAGTCGTTGACCTTCTCTGCTCCATACACTGATCCACACAGTGGGAGTCACAGGGCTGTCTGTCCCCAGCGCTCTGGGGAAGAAGGGCTAACAGCTGTGAGGAGCCGGGGGCTCTCAGGGAGACTGCACGAGAAGGGCTGTCATGGCTGATGGATGGTTCCTTGCAGACATTGCCGTGGAAACAGTGCGACAATCCCTGGAACACAGACCACTGCTTCTCCAACTACAGCATCGCCAACACCACCAACATGACCAGTGCCGTGGTGGAGTTCTGGGAGTGAGTACTGGTGGTGGGTGCAGGGGAGGGTGCCAGCTGGTTATGTAGGAGCTCGGTGAGAGCACTGTTCAAAGAAATGTGGGCAGGGGATGGGAACCACAGAGGATGAGCTCTTTCCCCACCCTTGAGGGCTGGACCACCCAGTCGGCACCAGGTGTGGCCTCCAGTGGCGAAGCCTGGGCACAGACACAGCCGTGGCAGCAGGAAGAAGAGATCCCCGGTAACCTTCTCTTCTGCCCTCCTCCTGCTGATGCCTCCATTGGTCAGACTCGGTGAGAAGCTAGAGGACAAAGTTCAGCAATGTCACAGAGTGCCCCGTCCCGGATGGGGAAGGGCAGAGAGTGCATCCAGAGGGCCATGGAAGGAAACACTAAAGCCAGAGTCACTCAGATTCATCCTGAAACCCAGCCCTGTCTGCCGTCAGTATCTGCCTGCTCAGGCCCTGGTTCGAGTTCAGCCAACCTGAGATGGAAACCTCCCCCCGGATGTATGACCCCGCCTGCCCCGAGCTGCACAGAGGCTCCCTGGTCACAGATCCACTCAGCGCTGGGTCAGGCATCCTCGGTCACCCAGAATGACCTGAAGCTTGCGGGACCAAGCGCACAGGCCCTCTGCACACCCCGTACTGCGTCCCAATGGCAGACAAGAACCACCATGTTCCTCAGCATCCACAGGCGTCCTAGAAGCAATCCCCGTGAATGCCAAGGGATCCTGAGCCTCCTAGAGGAAACACACACACATGCACACACGCACGCACACACACACACACACGTCGCATAGCCACAGCAGTGGCCGCCCTGACTCCATCCTCCGGGAGGCCCCTCGATGCTGAGGGTCAGGGCTCTGATTGGACAAGGTGAGCTCGCACTGCCCACATCTCTTTGGCATGGAGGAAGCATCTGTCTGGGCAGCTGGGAAGACCGGGAGCAGCCTGGAAGATCTGAGCCGAGGGGGTGTGGGCCTGATGTGAGGACAAGAGACCGTGGGGTCCCCGCAAGTGAACACAGAAGCCGCGGCGCTGGGTTCTGCCCTCGGTCCCTCGGCCCCTCCCACGTGCAGTTCTTGGCGCGCCATGCCCCTCATCCATCCTTTCTCCGTCCCTCAACGCTCCTTGAACGTTGACTAACGAGGTGCTGTGTGATTAGAGACCCAGTGTGCAGTGTACAGGGGCCGCACCAGGCGACCGTGCGAAACGGAGGGAGGTCCAGAGGGTCCGTGGGAGCCACAGGAGGCCACGCGCGCACAGCCCCAGGAAGGAGGAGGGCCTGGCCCACACCTGGGCCCCCTTGGTCACTCCAGCTCCTGATGGCTCCCCATGACTCCCTCCTCCCTCCTCCCCAGGCGAAACATGCACCAGATGACTGACGGACTGGATAAGCCCGGCCAGATCCGCTGGCCGCTGGCCATCACCCTGGCCATCGCCTGGATCTTGGTGTATTTCTGCATCTGGAAAGGAGTTGGCTGGACTGGAAAGGTAGGGGGTGTGCGCAGTGGGGCGGGGGCCCCCGGGGGGGTCTCCCTGCCTCCCACCAGCCCTGTTCCACTGTGAGCTAAGCAGGTCCTACAGTTCTCTGCCTAAGTTTCCTTAGGCAAGACTCCCCACCGAGGGCAGAAGGGAAGGAGCATGGCAGGCACACAGCAAAGTGCCAGGCTTGCAGGGATAGTTTAACAGTTCAGATGCTGCCCCAGGACCATTGCATGAGCTTTTCCTGAGTGTCTGCTCTGAACCCCTCTGTGCTTAGTTTCAGGCCAGAGGGGCGGACACCTATCTTGACTCAGGCATGGAGAGACAAATGACTGAGGACTCAGGCTTTGTATTTCAGCAGTCCTAAGTCCAGGTCCCAGCTGGCTGGCTTTTTGTTGGTTGTGTGATTTTGGGCAAGTGACTTTGCCTCTCTGAAGCTCAGCTTCCTCTGTAAAATGGGGCTGACGAGGGTGCATTTCAGCTTGCGGAGAGAATCCCATGAGCTGGTGACTGTGCAGAGCACCACAGGACCTGACAGTGCTGTCCTGGTCTCCTTTGTGTTTATTATGGCCAGTGGAGAGCCATGCCACACCAGGGTGTCCAGCTGGGGGCGCTGGGGAGCTGAGTGACAAGCCACGCCAGGTGGAGGGGAACACGCCACTTCTCATTTCCAAGCCCTTCCCAGGGGTTTGGGGCCGAAGCCAGCGGGTCACTGCCGGTGTGCATGAAGGGGTTACAGCAGGTCGGGGAGGTGGGGCTGGAGCTGAGCAGGGCTGGAGGCAGGGAGTCCGGGCTTCGGTGGGCTTCCAGAAGAACAAAACAGAACTTTAAACCAATTGTGCGCAGGGCCATGGGCAGTGCCACTGAGGCTGGTTTGTGTCTGGAGGGAACTGTGCCCTGTGGCTCAGCCCCAAGCTCAGTGTCAGAACACACGTCTCTAGGAACAGAGAGCATGGAGGGGTACTGGCATCTAGGTACTAGGTACCTAGGGGTACTTGGTAAGCACCTAGCACCCAGCACCTAGCACCTAGAGTTCCTCTACACAGGAGACTGACATCTTGGGGACAGAAAGTAGGCCCCACCTCCTTACTGCATCTTTTGGAGGGTGCCATCAGCAAGCCAGCATTTATTAAGCACTTACTATCTACCTGGTTACCAGATGAGCACACAGAAGCAACACTTTTAAGCAAGCTGATGTCTTCACATAACCAGCTTTTCTGGGCAGCAAGGGGAATTACATCTGTCTGCCAAACAAGAGAAAGTGAGGCTCAGAGAACATAAGATATTAACCCAGAGTCACATAGCCTGTAGGTAATAAAGGCTAACACTCTACCACTTGAACCACAACTTCACTTCTGGCTTCGGGTGGTTAATTGGGGTTAAGTCTCATAGACTTTCCTGCCCAAGTTGGCTTCACCTATGATCCTCAGATCTCAGCTCCTGAGTAGCTAGGATTATCAACGCCTGGCATACGGTTGATTTTGAATCCCCTTTTTATAATTCCCAGTGCAGTGGGGGCTGGTGTCTGGCTTTCCAACCCTGCAGGATCTTAGAGAGCAGCCAGGGAGAAACACTAATTCAGAGAACAACTCAGGCTGTCTAGCAAATGGGGTCACATCAGACTACGATAGCAAGGGTCACTGAGCTTGAAAATCACTCATCCATAAATGAGCAGAGAGGCTGCTTTGCATAGTGTCAGTCACGTGATTGTCATCAGACCCAACACAGGTTTGTGCGTGCCCAACATCCCTGCGAGGAAGCTACCCTGCCGTGTTGGCAGGAGTTCCACTGCCAGAGGCAGTTAGGTGACAAGAGGAAGTTTATTTCTTCTCACTCAGGAATTCCACTGCTAGAACTTTCCCCCAAGGGTAATATAATGATTTTGTAGATGAAGAATTATATACAGAGGTGTTCAGTGTAGTATTTAGAGTCACTTAAAATTGGAAGCAACCTAAATGGATAGCAGTTCTAGTTCTATAATTAAGAATCACAGTGTTCCCAAGATCGTGAAACAAAAAAAGATAAAAACAAAACTACATAGCTCCTGGGGCACTGGTGGTTCATGCCTGTATTCTTAGCTACTCAGGAGGTGGAGCTCTGAGGATCAAAGTTTGGAAAAGCCAGGCAGCAAAGTCTATGGGATTCTTATCTCCAATAACCACCAAAAAGCCAGAAGTGGAGTTGTGGCTCAAGTGGAAGAGTGCCAGCCTTGAGCAAAAATAGCTAAAGGACAATGCCCAGGCCCTGAGTTCAAGTCTCAGTACGGGCACATTGCTGTTTTAGCTTGGTAAAATGTGAAATGTGGAAATGTAACCTAGGGTGGTGGGCCTCCTTTTACAAGAAGAGTAGCCACACATGCCCGTAAGTTGTAGAGGAGAAACCCTGAGTTGTTGACACTTTCGTGGGCTTGTAGCTGCCAGACAAATATTGAGTGCATTACCCTCTCTCCCTTTTTTTTTCTTTTTTGCCAGTCCTGGGGCTGAGGGCCTGGGCGCTGTCCCTGAGCTTTTGCTCAAGGCTAGCTCTCTACCACTTGAGTCACAGCACCACTTCTGTATGTGTACTGAGGAATCGAACCCAGGGCCTCACGCATGCTAGGCAAGCTCTCCACCACTGAGCCCCCTTCCCAGCCTGCACTACCCTTTTATCTAGGTTTCAGGAGAACACCAGGAGCCCTGGCTCCTGTGTGTCTTCTAGGGCTGTGGAAGGGATGGAACGTTTCCCCTTCTGGATGATGTAGACCTTTAAAAACAAGGAGGCGATGAGCGCGGAAGGGAAAAGCCAGGTTTTGAGCCGGTTGGTTCTGGAGGAGCTTCAGAAAAGAGGCCAAGCAGCCGCCCGGGCCCCGGGACCCGGGAGGGCTACCCGGGAGCTCAGAGCCCCGTGGGCGCCGGCGCGGGCGGGGCGTCGGGCGCCACCCCCCACCCCTGTCCCCCTAGGTGGTCTACTTCTCCGCCACGTACCCCTACGTCATGCTCATCGTGCTGTTCTTCCGCGGAGTGACGCTGCCCGGGGCCAAGGAGGGCATCCTCTTCTACATCACGCCCAACTTCCGCAAGCTGTCGGACTCGGAGGTGAGGGCTGCGCACGCGCCGCCGCCCCAGCCAGGGCGCTGGGGGATAGAGGCTGCCCTCGTCAGTGCACTTACCCAAGTGTCTCGTCCCGCTCAGGTGTGGCTGGACGCGGCCACCCAGATCTTCTTCTCCTACGGGCTGGGCCTCGGGTCCCTGATCGCGCTGGGGAGCTACAACTCCTTCCACAACAATGTCTACAGGTACGAGGGCGGGGCCCCGAGTCTGGGGTCCAGGCCACGCCCACCTGCGGCCACGCCCCCAGGTGCCCTACTGAGATCCTTCCATGGGCCAGCCCTTCATATGGCCACGCCCACCCGTGGCCACGCCCCCAGACACCCTACTGAGACCCTCCCATGGGCCTGCTCTTCCTATGGCCATGCCCTTCAGAGGCCACACCCGCCAGCATCCTAGTGAGACCCTCCTCCCAGTGGCCCCGCCCTTTATCTGGCCACGCCCCAAGGCCCCACCTCCGGCTTTGACCTATGAGGGCCCCCCGTGTCCTCTCAGCTCAGCCTTCTCAGGCAGTCCCCTGGTCCCTACCTCTTCCTGAGCCGGCTACTCCTGGCTCTGCCCTCCCAGGCTGCCTTGCCCTGGGACCTTGCCCAGGTCCTCCCCCTGTGGGGCCACCTGCCCCTTAGTGACCTTACTCCTAGCCCCGCCCTCTCGGACCCCGGATCCCCTGACCCCACCCCACTTCCCTCTCCAGGGACTCCATCATCGTCTGCTGCATCAATTCCTGCACGAGCATGTTTGCAGGATTCGTCATCTTCTCCATTGTGGGCTTCATGGCCCATGTCACCAAGAGATCCATTGCAGATGTGGCGGCTTCAGGTCAGCTCTGCACACCGGCACGCCTCACGGTGTTGGTGTGGGATGGGCTCCTGAGGAGGAGAAGGGCCAGCGGTGCTGGCCTTGGGGGTCTGTCCTGGAGACCATCCACCTGAGCCTGGCCGGGCTGTGGTCACCTACATGCTACAAAGGTCCCCCAGGACCATCTTTCCTTCTGGTTCCTAAAATGTTCACACCTAGTGGATTGTGCCCTCTAGAAGCAGTCCCTGCACAGTGACCTGCACTACGAAAGTCATGTGCCTCACTCTCTACCTGCTCAGCCAGGCACGTGAAGGATTCCCCTTGTGCACCTCCTCTGTGGAGGGCTGGGCAGGGGGAAAGGACAGTACACCTTCCCCACCAAGGCCTGCCCCACCCACGGCTCTGGAGCTCTCCAGCCATGTTGACCCTGTCTGGATTTCAGAGGGAGCTGTACAGCCTCTTTCCTGGTTGCCCCAGGACCTAGCCCTCAGGTAGAACATGCTCCCAACATGCTCCCAACATGCTTCCTGACCTGCTGAGTTCCATGTCAGGGCACATCCTAGGCCCAGGCCAGGACCCTCACAAGCCCTCCCTCTTCCCGCCTCTGTATCTCACACCTGTGCGGTCCCAACCACTGGCCAAGGCCACAGTGGCCCCTTTTTTGCACAGTGGCCCCAGTTCTGGGGCTCCTGGTCCCCCACATTTCTTCAAAGTTGACAGGTTGCCAGAAAGACAAGATGGACTGAATCTGGGAAGGTGGACATGCTGTGGGTGCTCAATGCCGTTCCCTCTTTTCTTCTGCTCTACCCCTGCCCTGCCCCAGGCCCTGGGCTGGCCTTCCTAGCATACCCAGAGGCGGTGACCCAGCTTCCCATCTCTCCTCTGTGGGCCATCCTGTTCTTCTCCATGCTGCTCATGTTGGGTATCGACAGCCAGGTGAGTCCCCGACTCCTGCACCTTGGGCTGGGAACTCCAACCTCCCTGGTCTAGGAGCAGGGAGAGGGGATTACTCGTAGGTCCCATGGAGATGACTAAGAACTCCAGACCTCGGATGGTTTCACTGTGTGAAACGTCACAAAGCATCTCGGTCAATGCCCCTATTTTCCTGAAGGGGAAGTTGACACCCAATGAGGGGAACCTATCCTGAAGCTACACAGTGAGACAGGCAGAATCAGCTTGGTTCTGGGGCAGGCCTCTTGTCCTCCTGTACAGAGCGGGGCGTGGGATGGGGCAGGGTGGGGGCGGCTGCAGGTGACTGACCTCTGTTCTCACCTCTGCCAAGTTCTGCACTGTGGAAGGATTTATCACAGCCCTGGTGGATGAGTACCCCAGACTGCTTCGCAACCGCAGGGAGCTCTTCATCGCTGCCGTCTGCATCATCTCCTACCTAATTGGCCTCTCCAACATCACTCAGGTAGACCCTGTGGCTGCCAGCATGCCCCAGCGTGGCCCCAAGGCCACACCCGGGGCCTCCTCTCAGCCCTGTTCTACTCACTTTCCAACCCTGCCCTGAGTGCCACCCATGCCAAGCCCTGTGAGCAAATAGTTGTCCCTTGCCAGGCTGGGGGAGGACACAGATACCAAGCTAGACAGAAGAGGACAAAGCTAGAGCATGCAACATCTTTGCCTGGCCTGGGAAAGCTTGCAGAGATGAATAGTCAGAAAGGCAAACTAGAATCAGGATTTTGACACTGACATTGCCTCCTTTCATCATAATCCCTGGTTGTGTGTGTGTGTGTGTGTGTGTGTGTGTGTGTGTGTGTGTGTTAAAATTAATGAGATATGTTTAGTGCATTCAAGGCCTTCCTAGTCTGATGAACTATACAATAAATATAAACGACCCTAAATCCATGAGCTTAGACCATAAGTCTGACTTGTCTAGAATGCCACACCCAAATTCAAATGCAGCTGTGATCCAGAGTTAGGACTCCTTTATTCCTGCACGCATTCATCAACACCTCCTATAGGCAGGTATGAGCTTCAGACTCAACATTTAACATGGTGGACACTGCCATGTCTGCTGTCTTTGGGGCTTACATTTTGGTGGATAAAACTGACATACAGATCAGATGTTTTCTGAGTAATTCCATGAGAAAAAGGGCCCTGGGATCAGCAGAGCTGGGAGGAACACTACCTTGGACACGTCGTCAGGAGAGGTCTAAGGATGTGACCATTGATCCGGGACTTTAGTGCAGAGGAATTGGAGGACCTCAGGAAAGAAAGCACAGTGGGTGTGAAGGCTCTGGGGTGAGAGTAGACTTGGAAAGCTCACAGGACAGAAAGGAGGCCAATGTAGTTGGGTGGAGACAGAAGGGGTGAGGAAATGGGTGGGGATGTATAACCAGACCATGGAGGACCTGGGATTAGACTTGATTTGAATTGGTATCTACTAGAGATAGTTGTCGCGCTTTTATTATTTTTGTTGTTGTGCTTTATTATTGTCTTGTGTAAGCTGGGGAAGGTTTAAGCATAGGAGAGGTGCATCCAATTCTAGTAATCAATTCCTTGTTCTATAACCTGGACAGTTTCTTCCCAACTCTCGGACAGTGAATATGTACATCTGGTTGTGCCCAGTGCTTCCTCTAATCTACTCCCAAGTTTTCTTGCTGCAGGGTAGCCTCTCCAAGCTCCCAAGCTGAATGAAATGGATTGGCATTCATCTTCTTTTGCTCTTTCAGGGGGGCATCTATGTCTTCAAACTTTTCGACTACTACTCTGCCAGTGGCATGAGCCTGCTGTTCCTTGTGTTCTTTGAGTGTGTTTCCATTTCCTGGTTTTATGGTAAGTGTCTCCTCATTTTCTTCCCTCCTTTCCTTCATTCTTCCCCCCATTCTTCCCTCTTTCTCTTCCTTCCTTCTCTCCTAGTATCCCTCCCTCCCTCCTTCCCTCCTTCCTTCCCTCCTTCCTTCCTTCCATCATTACTCAACAAATACAATCTTCTCTGTTATCTTCACAATTCCATAAGCCTAGTACAGAAGCCCCATATTTAGAATATACAAGAACACTTAATTACATCCATTAAGAATAGGAGCCAGAATTTTTGGCCAGTTTGGAGGTTTTTTTTTTTTTTTAAGTTTGTTTGAGATTTTTATCTGGGAAAAAGGGAGATCCAGCAGATAAACAAAGATTTAAATTTATGTGTTTTAATACCAGCTATCAATAAAAAGACGCAGTCTCTTAGGCCTAGTAACGAAGGAAATGGATTTCCTTTCTTTGGGGGCAGCCAGCTGTACGCTGCTGTCTCCCAGGCCTCCTTCCCCACACGCTTGGTGATCACAGCAAGATGGAATGCTTGGAAAGGGATGTGGCGTCCTGTATCTCCTCTGTTCTGCTGCGTCTGCTCCTTGTCACTGGCCCTTCCTCCACTGCCTGGCCTGTGATCTGCACAGACTCCAGCTGGGCTCTGCAGAGCTCTAACCGATCCTTTGTGAGACTCACAGTTTTCTGTGATCTCAGCAGTGTCTCATGGTGACAGAGCATTGGATGAGCTGTGTCCCCACCCAGCAAGGCCACCAGGGGGAATGGTTGGGATGGAAGACATGTGGGAAGAATGCTGAGAGGGGACACAGTTTATAAGTACCCGTTAGTGGGAAGGTATCTTCACCTTGAGGGGACTGGCTTTCCTGCTTGAGTGGGAATCGACCATTGACAAATACTTCAGTACCCAAAGCATTGGTCCCACATTTCACATGGGAGTATGGGGTTTCTGGGACTGTGGCAGAGCTGGGCTCTGAATGCACAGTCCCCACAGCTCAGCCTTCCTCCCACTCCGGCCCCAATGTCACAGGTGTCAACCGATTCTATGACAATATCCAGGAGATGGTTGGCTCCAGACCCTGCATCTGGTGGAAACTGTGCTGGTCCTTCTTCACCCCTATCATCGTGGCGGTAAGGACAAGGCCTGACCAGCCTGCTAGGATGCGGCTACTCCAGGCATGAGAGATACAGGCCTGGGGAGAAGCTGCAGGGGCAGAGACCCTCCCTTCCCCACAGCCCCGCTCCCTAATGACACTTATCCCTATGGTCTGCTGAGCGCCTGTTACTGAAGTCTCCCTCACCTGGTTAGTGGTGGGATTCGGGCAGCTCTTCCAGATGGGTCTCTGTCACAGGCAGGTGGTGTCTGCAAGCGGGGGCTCTGTTCAGGGACAGAGGCCTGCTCGCATCAAGGTCTGGGAGGGGCTTTGCCTGTCCAGTCTAGGTGGCTGAACTCTTCTTCTTCCTCTTCATTCTCTTCTTCCTGCTCATCCTCTTCCTTTCCCCCTTCTTCTCTTATTCTTCCTCCTCCTCTTGTTCCTTCTCTTCCTTCTCCTCCTTCTTCCTCCTCTACTCCCCTCTTCTTCCCTCTCATCTTCTTCCTTCCTTTTCTCCTCCCTCTTTTCCTCTTCTGCCTATTCCTCTTCCTCCTGCTCCCAGGGCGTGTTCCTCTTCAGCGCCGTGCAGATGACGCCTCTCACCATGGGAAGCTACGTTTTCCCCAAGTGGGGCCAGGGCGTGGGCTGGCTCATGGCCTTGTCCTCCATGGTCCTCATCCCCGGCTACATGGCCTACATGTTCCTCACCCTGAAAGGCTCTCTGAAGCAGGTAAGCACTACTTCCCTTCCCTCACCCTGGCCGAGCCCCAGATCTCGGAGGCACAGACAAGGCCACAGCCAGTGCCACGAGTATGAGAGGTGTCCACGGGGAAGGCCAAGGAGGGGGGTCACTGAGGAGAGGACTGAAGGTGAACCAGATGTAGTGTAGAGGCAAAAAGAGTGTTCTCAGGAGCAGGGAGGGAGGAGACTGGCTGTGGAGCGCTCATCAGGCTCACTGCTGGGTGTTGACTGAGAGCAGATGGAGCTGGGGGCTGGGGAGAGGGGCTGGGGAGGGCCCACAGGACAAGACCATGACGGGATGGGTGTGACGGTGGGCCTGAAGAGCATGGCTCTCTAAGGACCTTGCGTGTCCCTCCCGCTGTCCCCAGCGCCTCCAGGTCATGATCCAGCCCAGCGAAGACATTGTGCGCCCCGAGAACGGTCCCGAGCAGCCCCAGGCAGGCAGCTCAGCCAGCAAGGAGGCTTATATCTAGGGGTGTGGGGCCGTCCACCGACCCAACGCTGCCACCCCGCCTGGCTGCTCCAACCACCACTTGGCCACTGAAGATGCCCTGTCTCCACTACCTCGAGTGGCGGGCCCGGACCCATCACCGGGCAGAGAGGGCAGGTGGGGGCGGGCAGCCCGACCCTTGGGTAGGCCCAACCATGGCCACACACCCAGTGGCCTCCAGCGGGCTGGTGACCTTCTCATAGGCCCTGAGCCATCGGTGGGTGTTCCTAACTGCCACCGCTGCTCCTTTTTATCCTGCCAGTGACGGTGGCCCAGTCAGGCCACACACTCCTGGCTTTTCTTCCTTCCTGACTGTTCTCTTCCTGCCAAATCTGACTGTTAGCTGGGCCTTTGCTGGTGGCCAGGAGGCCGGTGGGGTGGCTCTGGAGGCGGGATGAAGTCATTTCCCACACGGAGCCTGCAGCCAGGGCCCCTGGAAGCAGCGGGGAGCCAGCGGGGCTCTGCCTCTCCAGTTTTTGATTTTCTCCTTCCCAAGGCAGCTTGATGAAACCACCCTAGAGACCTCAGTTGTCTGGGCAGAGGATTCCTGTCTCTGGACCCCAGAGATGGCGGCGTAGCTAAGTGCTACCTGCCGCTCACCTCCCCTGGCTTTGCGATGGGACCTGGCCCAGCCTCAGGTCTACAAGGGCTCTGCTGGCTAGGAAAGAGCTACAAGCACAACTCTTTTGGTGACCATTCCCGGGGACCTGACCCAAGCAGGTCTCCTTTCCTGGAGCTACCAAGGTTTACAGAGCACAGGACCCCCCACAGGAAAACCAGTTAAAGGGTCTGTCCAGGGCCAGGAGGAGTCGGCCTGCTCCTGGGTTTTCCTCTTCAATATTAACTCACTGCCACCCTTTCCTGCTGCTGTCTCCCCACCAGTCTCCAGGACCCCTGGCTGCCACTCAAATCCACCCACCCATTGAGGCCAGTGTTCAACCAGCCCCTGCCCCTCTCCACCCCGCACCTTGCTGTGCTACCCAGGTTTCATCTGCTCCACCAGGTGGTATTCCTTGTTGCTTTCTGGATTGGGCTCCAAGCTCAGCCTTTCTCATTGTCTGGGAGGAGGGTTCCTGTAGGAAAGCCTGCACCCTGCCCGGTAGCTCCTTAGCTCTGTAGCTCACAAACTCTTGTTCTATGACTAATCCTTAATAACTATGGTGAATAACTGTGACTGTGGGTTTTTTTTAATCTCTTGTCGTTCTCATCTGAAAAGTGACCAGCATAGCCGTTTTTGCAATAGGGTATTACCCTGAGAATATTAAGCACATTATTGTAGAGAATAAAAACACATATACACATATAAATGCACACACAGGCACCTTCATCCTCACGTGTGGCATCTAGGGTCCCATGTGGTATCGTGTAGGCAACCCACACGCTCTTTCCTGTGGCCGTCTGTAAAATAGTCTCCTTGCTAAGGCATCCCCAGTGCCCAGTGGCAAAACTGTGGTCCAAGTGCATAGGTTTTGGTAGATTCTAGGGCTTACAGTGGCAGGACCTTACACTGTACCTCACAGTCCCACCCTCTCCCCACCTCTGTGTGAATCATTTAGAATAAGGGCAAGGAGACTTCTCACTTGCACTGTGTTCAAGTCTCAAAGCCAAGTCTTTCTAACATAAATGCAGCATATTTATGTCTGTAAGCAACTTTGAAATGTTTGGCAAGAAATCCCCTAATTGATTTCCACCCAAACTTACCTTCTAGAGCACAATATTAAGTGTCGTACAATTACTGTAAGAACTGTGAATATGTGTAACTTTTTTTTTAGTATTTACCCCGGGGGGAAAAATATTGTATTATCATTATATGCTTTTTTTTGCAATAAGGAGTTATTCTCAGAACACCAAGTAAATTTATCTCTATATAAAAAGTATATGTAATATATGCATATTCAAACTATATACAGAGCCTGTTTTAAAAAAATTACAATATTATTTAGTAAAATTATCTGTTCTACGGACCAAATGTAAAATATTTATAAATGAAGATGCATTTTAAATGTCTATAAATGGTGTTATAACTAGAGCACGGGTTATGTAAGTTCCTAAGAATTTAGAGGAAACATAATAAAGGTTCTATGACATGCAAACAGACCTTCAGAGTTTTTTTTTCTCCTTTGTGCCAGTATTGGGGCTTGAAATCAGGGCATGGGTACTGTCCCTTAGCTTTTTGGCTTCAGGTTGGCACTCTATCCCTTGAGACACACCTTCACTTCTGCCTTTGCATGTGATGTGCATGTGATGTGATTGTGTGTGTGTGTGTGTGTGTGTGTGTGTGTGTGTAAAATCAGAGATAAGAGTCTCATGGACTTTCTTTGCCCCTCTTTGAATATGGATCCTCAGATCTCAGCCCCTTGAGTAGCTAGGATTACAGATGTGAGCCACCAGCACCCAGTGTTCACTTCTTATGCATGAAATGGGTTCAGTAGGCTCTCACATCAGAACAGCAACACAGACACAAACTAATTTTACCTCAGCAGACAGATTTGGACTGAAAATCTAACAACATAGACTTCCCTGAAGTTTTAGGATGAGTAACATTAGGAAAATACTTTCACTTGCATATGTGGTCAACTAAATAAAGGTCTAAACTGGGAGTTGATAGAAGCGTACTTGGTGAATATTCACACTCATTTCACTTATTGATGTGTTTCTTAAAATCTTTTTATTTAAAAAAATATTTAGAAGCTGGGCACTGGTGGCTCATGCCTTTAATCCTAGCTACTCAAGAGGCTAAGATATGAGGATCATGGTTCAAAGCTAGCCCAGGCAGAAAAGTCTGTGAGATTCTTATCTCCAAATAACCAATTAACTGGAAGTGGTGCTGTGGCTCAAGTGGTAGAGTGCTAACCTTGAGCTGAAGAGCTCAGGCCCAGAGTTTAACCCCCACGACCGACCAAAAATACTTTTTTTAGAAAATAAGACCTAACTAGAGGAGTTTGTAAGAGTAGTCAATTGGATGTCTCTTTACACTTCACCAGGTCTACTAGTTGTTGACATGTTGCCACATTTATTTTAACTCTTACCAAAGTTCATTTCAGACAAGAAAACCCTGTGAATATGATAGAATGAGGTTCCTTACTGGAACAAGACTTTAGACAAACATGAGATAGGTCAGAAAGTAAGGGAGTGAAAAGAATCTTGGAGGGCTGGGAAGGTGGCTCAGTGGTAGAGCGCTTGCTTTGCATGCTCAAGGCCCTGGGTTCGATTCCTCAGCACCACATAAGCAAAAAGAAAAAAG